AATAAGATTGCATTGTTCTTATTAAGATTTATCTAGATTTTGGAATAAGAACAATAATGTATTTCGATGCACATTGAACGGGACCGCATAGATGACTCATTTGTGACTGCTTGAAATGAGACTTTACTCGATTATCAAATAAGTCACCTAAATCCTAAGCGAGTAATGTACATTTGATTACTAGTTCAAGTTCTTTGAGATATCATTGAGTGAATTCTTTAATAAAATAATCTCGATGCTTTGGGTATCAGGCTGAATCAATTAGAGATCATATACTTGCGATAGTGGAATCCATTAATCAATAAAATGAGACGATCGTCACTTTAAGGTATTTTCCATAGGCAAATTGAACTTGAGCTCAGTATTTTGATGATGAGATCTTCGAACTTTATATTATGATTTGATCACAACAAATTTGCCATATGAAAATAGAACTTAGAAGGTAATACATGTTGAAGGGCAAAACGGTCATTTTGCCAATTTTAACATTTTGATGGTCAAATGGGGGTTAACTTGTAGAACGACAATAAGATGATATTGTTATTAGATCATAATTTGCTTCTATGACTATCACTCAACTCAAGAATGCAATTTCGATTTTTTGGTAGAATGAGCCGGGATTAACAGATGTATCTCAATTGATCAAGAGTTGATCCAATTAGAAATATCTATTGGAGCTTGAGTCACATGAGTCTGGTTGGGTCCCTCTCTTGGCTCCGATAAAGATGTGTGACTTAATTAGTCTACTACAATAAAGTCCAAGAAAATTTGTGTGATTTCCAAATCCTAATTGAGTATTATAAATATGCCACTCATGGTCACATTTTCATATGCTTTTAGGGTTAGCTACTTTTTTATTTCCCAAAAAGAGGGAGGCACCTAAAGGAGAACAAGGGAGAAAATCTAAGGGAGGAAGTATTTGACATCTTCCCTTTCATGTGTGAGAATTTAAAACATTTAATAATCTCATCTTTATTTAACATCTGTATTCGTATGGATTTAATCTTCAAAGGAAAATTAATTTTTGATTTTGATGATTAAATCCAGTAACCAACGTCCAACGGTAATCTTTTGATTACCATCAATAATTAATGATGATCATACTCACTTTTGGGGAAGGAAAAAAATCTCTCTCTCTCTCTCTCTCTCTCTCTCTCTCTCTCCCCCCTCTCTCTCTCTCTACTTGTTAATTGTCACTTCTTTTTTATGTGTTTATTTGTTTGAGTTCCCGACCACACACATTTTCCAACTAGATAAATCTCATGTTTGATGTGCCCAAAAATAAGATTTTTAGTAAATTTTTATAAAAATTGATGAAATATATGATTAAATAAAGTTGTTAGTTCTATAAAATGTGTGATTGAAAATGAATTTGAAATTAAAAATTTAAATGATGCCAAATAGGAGTATATTATATTTCTCTACAATATTATATACTATTGATGCTAATCACATGGAAAGATATGAGTGATAATTGGCGTATAGGGGTGCATTCACAAGGGACATACAAGTCAGAAAAAATGGGGTTTGTGGTTTAATTTTTGGCATTTTTTTATTCAGGTGGGGCCCACCTTTGTGAGTTATCTTGCCAAGTTCACAGCACATGAGGAAAATTCCGAAAGATATTAGGCCAAGCAAATTAGGCTCTTGCTTGGTGGGCAATGAAATAATTTTTTTAGTAGATTTTCTTACAAGTCGATAAAATCTTTATTTGCATCTCATTCTTTGGGAAAAATAGATTTTGGAATAGTGATCTTTTTAGAGAATATATGATTGAAAAGTAAGAAAAAGTTTTAGGATTTACATGTAATATTAATTTATTAAGAGAATATGTAGTTGAAAATGAGTTTGGAGAAAAATGTATTAATGAAAAGTGAGGTTCAAACAAGGGCGAATATATTGTTAAAAAGTCGTGGGTCTTATAGAATATGTAGTTTGTTGACTTTAATTTTGATAGAAATCTATATTTTAGTCCTCACCAAACAAGGGCTAAAACTTATTCCGGGTTAGAGGAATTCTATACCTCGAAATTAATAAAAAAATAACTTCTCTTCTACATGATAAAAAAAATTAATAAAAAATGGTGCAACTCTTTCGCATTTTTTTATGGCATAACAATTTCTTTACCTTCCTCAACGTCGTAATATCCCTTTCAAGTATCTTAATGGAAAGAAGCCATTAAGTTTAACAATGTCATGTGTAAGCTAGATTTCCGTGCATTAGGCTCATGTTTATAAACTATTTTAAATACGCAATTCACTTGTTATCCACGCTTGAATCACACGCAAGTATCACTCACTTATCCACCACTCATTTTTGTTTATTAACTATTTAAATTGTTTGTGAACATTTCCTAAACATTCTTTTTGTCATTGATCTAATTATGTTTGGCGAAGCTAAACTCCATTTAGGATCGACTAAAATGCTTAACTTCCGATTGTCAAAAAGCGAAAGTTAATTTAAGTTTTTAGTAAAATTAAGAACTTTGCATCATCTAATGACAAACATTGAAAACAAGCAAAACAGTCAAGAGTCTACTTTTAACTTCTCCGATTATCAATAACTAAAATACCAAGTTTAACACCAATTAATAAAATTTATTCTTTTTTTTTTTCCTACTATATAAACTATGCTTTTGTTTTGTAATTTAATAAATTTTGAGATTTACTAGATGTTAAATTTATTATTTTTTTTGTCATTTTAAAATAACACTGGTAAACACATTATATATTTTTAAAACGATAAAAATAAATTTTGTAATACTACCAAATATAATAATACAAATAGATATCATCTAATTGATATCCATTATATTAATTATATACAATTTCAACAATAAACCACTTCCGTTTAACAAAAGTTAAAATGTTGATTTTGAAACATACAACATTTCTGGACTAGAATAAAAGTTTACATTCTTTGTACAGTCATTTATTTGTCACAACAAAAGCTAAATCTCTTAAAATCACAACATGACAAAATTAAGCCTAACACGGGTGTAATGATCTTAAAATCTTTAATATGATAAATATGCTTGATGATTTTAGAATTATCCCTCAAGGTTAAAACCTATGAATTATATAGATTTTGGATCTTGCTCCAATGAGAAATCATTCTATTAGTCTCCATTTCATTGCATTTCTTGCAAGTTAATCCCCAGACTTTAAAAATGAACAAATTGATCACCATCATTTCATTGCTATTACACTTTAAGTTCTTACGGACATAAAATGTCCATTAAAACCCAGTACATATATGTTCCTAGCAGAATTTTGCAATATGATTCAACCTTGTGCATACATTCTATAACATGAGGAAGGATATTAACTTACCATATTCTTCAAGAACATGCATCATCTACACTGCATGCACCTTCAATTTAATATTTGGATTGTTTACATTAAGACAATTGTGGACGGAGATGAAAAAAGATCTTAGCGAGCCCAAAGTAAGCTTAATTGTATCACCCAGAACTAAAATCCAAATATGCTTAATTTGCTGTTTTCCGACTGAAGTACCAATCACCTATATTCTCTGCAATTGTCTGTTTTCCAAACAAGAATTAAATAGTTAATTCCTTTTACAGTAACAATAGGAGATAAGAGAACATAATAGTGGAGTTCTAATGTCGTGTTTAAATTTTGAATTTGCTTGATAATTCATAAAAAGTTCATGAGTAATTCAACTAAAACTAATTCTTTACTTATTATATGCTTGATCGATGTTTGTATGTACGGAGTCAATCTAATCATCATGAAAGCTTTGGTCAACTAATGATTTTTGGATGGAAACCATCCATTGGTTCTTTCTCCACAATTTTGAAAGCTTTGGATCCTTCACTACTGAAATTTAAAGATTTGGGTCTAATATGGACATTTTTTTAAAAATTTGGGACCTCCGATACAATTATCTCTAATATATTTGGGTAATAAGCACAACTTGTTGTAGTACTTTGGGTGAAGTTTCATTTTAATTATCAAACTTTAGGTATCAATAATAATTTTTCCTTAATAGAAATGTTTAACGAAACTTGATGATATTGTGAATTGGCTATTGACAATAGTTTGAATAATATAAAATCCCATTGATAGAAAATATATGAACATGGCTTTTAGGGGTGGTTATTAAGTTGTCTAATAGGAACTAATCAGGTGACGTAATTGAAACACATTCAAAATAGAATTACCATTTTAAAACTAAAAAAAAAACTTTGATGATTGATGTGAAATTTCTCTTAAACTGCACTGTCCAACTATGTTTCACCCATATATTAGTGTGAACAAGTTTGACTTTTGAATGTAAAAATCATCAACTTTAGGTGGTTTTCAATTTTTTGTACTTAAAATTTCAAATCGTGAGTGTATCAATCATCTTCCGCTTAATCTATGACATGGCAAACACATAGATTTTATATGAAAAAATCATTATTATATTGTGATTCATTCAATTAAACAAATTTTAAATTTAAACTCAAAAAAGAAAAAAAAGAAAAAAAAAAGGTCTATATAGGATCCTCTTCCAAATGAGCATAAAATTGCTAGTTTCAGAATCTTCTTGTTGCATAGGACTTCTTTGTATAATTGATTAAGAGCTCTTCTCTATCATAATCTCTCTTTTGGCTTTTAGTTTCTCTTTTATTTTGGTATTATCTTTAATTGTATTAGGAGTTCAATTGACAAACTAACATGAATAATGACTTTAAAAAAGCAATTAATTTTGAAAAAGAAATAAAAAGAGTATATTTTAATTGACACGCTTGCTACAATAAGTTTTAACTTTTTCTGTATAGAATCAATTGAACGTTTCATTTTCATTGTCAAGGTTTGATAAATTTTGTTAAAATTATTAAAATTAAACAAAACAAGCAAAATAGGCTTCCTCAAATTAGTACCTTTTTTTTTTTTAAGACTGTAAACATATAGTGATACAAAATAAAGAGGAAATTAAAGAAGTTTTTTATTTTTTCCATAGAAGGAATAAAACTTAATCCAACGGTGAAATTTCGCAATGGCTTGGAATTTGATTGGAAGCTCCCTAAAATCTGAACCGTTTATTTGTTCTTAATCCAACGATGTAATATGAAATTTACAAAAATAAGACTGTTATGTAGAACCTACTACAACCCCTAATTCTTCAAAGGGAGACTTGGGGTTTCTCGGCCAAGAGTGAGGCTTGGGGTTTCTCGGTCAAAAAGAACTAGACAAGGATTTCTGAAGATGGATTCCAGTACGATAATCATGTTCTTTATTCACGCATAGAAGAAGTCTCGAAGGATAGTTTCAGGGTTCTGTTCTTTGGTCCAACTGATGATCAAAATTTGGGTCACTGGTTTGTTTTTGTGAATTTCTCTTAGGGTTCTCATTTTATATGTGTTTATTTCAGAAATTATGTTCTCGGAGTGGCAATTTTCGCTCTCGTTTCTATAATTTCTTTATCTTTACAATAACATTTTTTGTTGGTTCATTATGATAATTAAAGAGATGATAAAATTGTGAATTCTCTTTTCTTTTCTTTATCTTGTGGGATTTTTTTCTGGATCAAAGTGATGATCAAAACTGTGAATTCTCTTTCTTTTCATTTTATGTATGGCACCGAGAATGATTTTTCCTGTAAACTCGAATTGATCATTTTCCTTCTGAGAAGTCGCAGAAATTTGAAACCCCAAAGCAGTGATTGATCATTAATGGTTGTGTTCGGTGTTCCCTTTACATTTGGATGGATGTTGATTAATTGTCTTTTGGAGTGATAGTTCATCTTGGGTTTTGCTGTATTTGTTTTCGTTCTGTGAATTCTATATGGGCTAAATCTTTAATTAAATTTTTGTTTGGTTTCAATATTAATAAGTTGTGTTTTGTTTTGTTTTTTTTTTCATTTTATTTACAGTTATTGCACCTATTACATTTCTAAGTGTGATAATGTTCTCTTTATTTATGTAATTGCCCTGTCTTCCTAGTCGCTTTCTTTTTGGTGCATTAAATGATGAATATTGAAGGACTTCTGGGGGTCTGCTCTCTGGATAATGATGAATATTGAATTTCACTGGATTTATTGATGTTACATTCTCCGTGGGTTGAACCTTTAATGTAATTCGTGTTTTTTTGTATTGGGTTTGTGGTTCCTTTTTCATTTTAAATATGTTTATTTTAGGATTTGTTCGTAGAGTATTTTTTTGTCTTTTTCATATATTTATTTTCTTTATAATCACATATTTTTTGGTGCATTTGGACGAATTTTGAAGGATCATTTTTCTTGACTTTGTTCTTTGGAGTGATGATCAATATTGAGTTTCTCTGGATTTGTTTTTCTGAATTTTTCTGTGATTGACTGTGCTTTTGTGTTATATTTGTGGTTCCTTTTCCAATTTATTTATGATTATGTTCTCAGAGTTTTCTCTGTTTCTATGTCTGTCATTTCACTGTTATGTTACATTCTTTGTCTTGGGATGATTATAGAAGATCTTTTCTAGGTTTCATTTTGGTCTAACTGATCATGAACTTGAGTTTCATCAGATTTGTTTCTGTAAACACTCTATGGTTTTTTCTGATCTTTGATGGAATATGTGCTTTTTATGTTTGATTTAAATCACCATAAGTTGTGTTTTCTTTTCAATTAAGTGATTTGTCATTCTCTTTTGCTTCAGTCAAATCTTGAATATCCATTATAATGCACGTGAGAAAAATCAGCTTTTAGTATCGAGTGACACTAGGTATTTTTTTTTTTTTGGGTCAGTATGAATTGATATGAAATCACTACTTGGTAGCTATGATTGATTTTGGTGTCAATAGCCATCTTGTTTAAACCATTTCTTAGTAGCCATTTCATTAATGAATTTTTGACTTTGTTTATTTAGTTTTCTATTTTTCTAATTCTGTAAAATTAGTAGTTTCTGTACATCTAAAAAGTTATATATGCAGAACCCTAATTCTATTTCCAAGTCTTGTATTCCTTCCCTATTTCAGAAGGGAGATGATTAACCCTTTCCAACAGGACTAGACAAGGATTTCTGAAGATGAATTCCAGTGCGATAATCACATTCTTTATTCATGCATAGAAGGAATCTTGAAGGACAGTTTTGGGGTTTTGTTCTTTGGTCCTACTGATGATCGAAATTTGGGTTCATTGGTTTGTAATTGCGAATTCTCTTAGGATTCTCATTTTATGTTTGTTTATTTCAGAAATTGTGTCTCAGAGAAACAATTTTCTCTCTTGTTTCTATAATTTCCTCTTTACAATAATGTTCTTTTGTTGGCTCATTAGGATGATTACAGAGATGATCAAAATTGAGAATTTTCTTTTCTTTTAATTATCTTAGGCAATTTTCAAAGCGAATATCATAATTGTGAATTCTCTTTTCTTTTCATTTTATGTATGGCACCGAGAATGGTTTTTCCTGTAGACATGAATAGATCATTTCACTTCTGAGAAGTCACATAAATTTGAAACCCCAAAGCAGTGATTTATCATTAATGATTGTGTTAATTAATTATTCACTACCCTAGGAGACTTCTGAGACTGATGTTTTTTAACCCTTTTTTGTGTATCATTGAATGGGTTTTTATGGAAATCAGATGAGTCCCTGCAAACACCTTTGTAGTTCTCTGGTTTCTTTAATCAAATAATACGAATCATTTCCTTCTAATTAGTAGGATTGTGTTAATACCCAGCATAAGCATTGAGAATTAAGAGCTGGAAGATTGCTGCTATATCTATTTCTCGTGAATGTCGTTGGGGAGACAAACTACTCGGTATGACAATTGAAGCCTATGTGTTGATATTTTTAGTTATATGCTAACAAAGACATTATGTGCTTTCCCAAATAAAAGGGTTCTGAGTACTGCTTCTCTCTTCACTACAATTATATGTATAAATTTAAAACAGTCTGGTGCTGTTTATTTATTTTTTGCTCCTAATTGTCATCCTCTTCCCTATGTTTTGTTTTTGCTCATAAGACTATATTAATTTTCTCTAAAATCAAATGTTTGAGACAATTCATTGACATTTGGTGGTGATAAACACCCATTTTTTTATACTTTATATGTCCCGATACTAACCTTCTTCAATGTTACATGTATGTAAATTAATGGACGCTTTATATACAAGTGGTGCTTGAAGTATTTGGAACGTGGTATTTCTGTAATATAAAGGAATTCACTGAAATGATGGATGTAGTATTAAACTTTTCACTTACACTTGAAGCCTTGGATACCATCATTTCATGCTTCAGTAAATTTTTTTATCCTGTTCAAGATCTCATTTAGAGTTCTATGGAAAGCTAGCACCAACAGAAGACACATGCCCGGTCAGATCATTTTCTTTTATTTTTTATATTTACATTAAAGTTGTTAGCAAGTATAAAGGTTTCTATATTGCTGTTACTAACTCAGCAGCAATTCGCATCTGATGTCTTCTTACTTGTGTTCAGTAAACTGAGTGAGTCTTCCTGTTTGCAGCTAATTTTTCAATATTAACTTGTAATGCTTTCAGTATTTAATTTTTGGGTGTCATAAGGCATCTGATTCCGCTCACTTCCAGTTAGTGTTTTGTCAATAGGGTCAGCAGATATGGGTTGTAGGGGAGTTGCTATACTGACATATCTATTATAAAATTCACTTATGGCAAGTGATTATTGATTGCCGTAGGAGACTTCGTTGGATCCATAAATTACATAGGACATTACGGACGGACTCCCAATTGGCTGGTGTGGCATTGACATCTAATTGATTAGGCCTATTTTAATTAAACAATTACATTTTGGGCTTGGCTCATTAATCACTCGGCCCATTTACATTTTTCTATATATATGTGATTTCATTTCATACGAAGGTATGTTTTCTAACCCTTACCATTTCCCTCTTCCTCTCTTGCATTCATATTATCTTTTGTTCGGCCATTGACTTGACCATAGGAGTGCAGATGGTCGTCGCACTTTTTTCTCGACCGACAGCCTTTGCCTTCTAATAACGTGTCCAGTGTTCACGTGATGTACCATTGCGAAAGGAGCCTTTCTTGACCTGGTTTTGCGAGATGTTTATTCCTCCCCACTTACTATCATCGAGCGTAGTTATAAGACATCGTCTATTTGAGGCTGCTTATTAGACTCCGATGGTTCAATGTTATTCCCCGTTAGATGCTCATTCCTCACTTTGCGAGATATTAGTTCTCACCTCTCACTACCGTCAAGCCTAGCTATAAGACCTCGTTATTCCGAGGCAAGTTTATAAGATGTATCACCATATGAGTTGTTGCATTATAGATGCCTCACCATGTGCCTCATCTTGCCTCTACATCAGCTTAGCAAAAGCTGCTTATATACTCAGAGCCATGTTTCTTCATTAGCAATAACATAGCTATATCTATATTCAGATAGCTCATCACGCCTCTGCATTACTTCTACATATCTTTCAGAACTTTGCCTCTACTTCAGTTATGTCACATTTGCATATTACCTATGAAGATTGCCTTCTATGGATGGATTTCACCATAGAGGAAGCCCTTGAATAGAAGACCTACCTCCTTGCAAGGAGGTAATAATTAAAAAAAAAAAAAATCCTCGACAAGGACAAGTGTGAAGCCTCTCACATGGAGCCACATTTTGCTACCTTAGAGGTCAACCCCTTCCATGGCTGGACTAAACACCATGAGGAAACCCTAGACCATGGATGCGCTTCCTCCATGTAAAGATGTCAGCATATCATAGCTATTTATGTCCAAATCATCACCTCTAGTACTCAATACATTCAGAACATCGCCTTTTCTACTTATATATCTAGAGTATCGCCTCTGCTACTTACATTCAGAGCATTATCTTTGCTACTCATATTTGAAGTCTCTCTGCATCAACTTTATCACTATGGCTTATATGTTAAGTCAAACTTGCATATAAATATCAAAAATTTATATCTATTATCACTAATCTTAGTATCATTACATTATTCTTAATAGCATTATATTATCGTTGCTAAGTACGCAGGAAACATTATTGCTAATGTATGCTAGTTATCTACATTATAAACATGTTACTTGCTTCACATTAGCAATAATGTTATCCTGAGCTGTGCAAGCATATGATTTACTATTATGCATGATCCCTTTGCATATTATATTTTGGAGAAATTTAAAGTACCACTATTTTTCTTCATTGTTATTATTTGGATGGGGCTAATGGACCCCAAATTTAAAAGTATATGTGCAGTACATATATTGTATTGTAATACAACTTTGTTTAGTCCATATTATAGAGGAGATGTCGAAATTTTGACAAATTATATGCGACATATTTCGAGGCAAATTCAGCCTAGCATAGATATTTTCAAGGTAGTTCATAAGTCCTCATTTATTGAATCGACTTATATTTTTAAGGTAGTTCGTAAATCCTTGCTGATTGGAGCTAGTCATATTTTGAGACGGTCTGTAAGACCTCACTTGACTGACTACTTATATTCCAAAATCTAACCTGCACATGAATGTACTACTCAAACTTCGGGGACTATTGTTATATCCATAAACTACATGGCATGCGCATGATGGAGGGAGTACCACATTGGCTGACGTGGCATGGACATCTAATTGATTGAGCCTATTTTAATTAAAAATTGCGTCTTGGGCTCGACCTATTAATCACTCAGCCGATTTAGATTTTCTTACATAAATTACGTGGCATGCACATGATGGAAGGAGTATCACATTGGTTGACATGGCATCAACATCCAATTGATTGGGCCTATTCTAATTAAAAATTGCATCTTGCACTCGACCGATTTAGATTTTCCTATATATATTCATTTCAAACGAAGGTATGTTTTCTAACTCTGACCAAACTCCTCTTCATCTTTTGCACTCATATTATCTTTCATCCCGTTGTTGACTCTCAACGGACCTTTTTCTCGACCCCGCGACCTTTGCTTTCCAATGAGGTGTTCAGTGTGCAGGTGATGTCTACATAGAGGGGACGATGTTGAGATTTTATTGGCTCATTTTTTAGGATAAACAATTCTAACCACCAAAGATTTTTTTCAACCCTTTCTGTGCTTATCTGCATTTACTCAATTCTAACTCATGGCAATTATGTCAATTTTCTGTTGCATTTTTTGATCTCTTATTTCTTTAATAAAATATAGTGGAAGCAGCCTGCATGTTCCAATTTCATTTTTAACGCTACTCCTATCAATCTAAAAGTGACTTTGTATGTCAAGAATTTATTAATTTCGATTTGGGTGAAAATCGTTGTGAATCAAAACTATATGTTTAACTCCATATAGTTATTTTGTTTATTAGAAGGTACCTACTATTACTACTTTTTGTGAATGTCATGGAGAGACAAAGTACTCTGACAATTAATTTTTTCATTTTCAAGCCTTTGAGTAGTTATTCTTAAATAATTTTTTGAATAACAAAGACCGTGTGATTCATATTTGTATTTGTTAGAGCTTCAAACAAGTAATAAAATTTTAAAAACATCATCTGTCGATTTCACTGACATTAAGGAGATGACCATGTCTCCCCAAAAAATAGGGATTTAGTAAATGTTAACTTGGTTTTCATAATGTGCAGTGTGAATACAGTGCATTCTAATTCTCTTTTCACTACAGTTATATTACAAAGAACACCGACTGATGCTCTCTACTATCTTTTTTTTTTTTTTCCTAATCATCATCCTCTTCCATCCCATTCATTTTGGTTCATAAGACTTTGTTTGTTAATTTCATCTCAAAATAAAATTTTGGAGACAGTTCATCTTTGACAAAAAGTATTTCACTTTTAGTTTCGAAAAAGTGGAGATTATGAACTTGGTTAATTGGAATGGTTTGTGTAGGAAATGTAATGCAACATATTGTGTATATAAATGTTGATACTCCTCGAGCCCATGGGAGGGATTGTTCAAACAGCATTCTAGACTTGCTTTTGCTCGACTCGACCTTAGAGGAAAAATTATGCTTGAACAAAGTTGAGAGTCTGGGATGCTTGGCTCTATAATTAGTATTAGTGTCGCCCAAGCAAGATCAAGACTTACTTAGACTTGACTTGACATTAAGTTTATACTTGAATGAGGTCAAGAGTCACTAGGGATCTACTCAACCTTTGCGAGGCAATATGCTTAGCTTGGGTTGATACTGAGTTGACTTATGTTTGAGCTGGATCAAGATTCCCTTTGGCTTGACTTAATCCATAAGATGAAATCTTTGACAATGTGCCTTTAAATGAAATTAAATCATAGTTGGTCAAATGAGGTGGTAACTAGCTCGGTCTACTTGGGGTAAATTTTAGATAATTACAATCAAGACTCACTTGGGCACAACTTGATTC